AATTCTTTATGCAAGCTCAGTGAAATTTATTTGTACATTCCAAATACAAAGAGATGAAAAAGCTACAACTAGCTGAGAAATCATCACCTCAAAGGAAAGATTTCAGAGGAAGAAAAGACAATAGCAATACCAGTTTTTTAAAAAAATAAACTAGAGAGTAACTAGCTAGTAACCTGGGAATGATAATCAAGAAAACCTTTGCAGCAGAATTCAGACAGGACAACAGTATATGAGTATAGAAAGGCCAGACTACAGTAAGACATCATGATTTCTCCAAGCCAAGAAAATACAAAGAACAGTAATTTCTGTTCAAGTTCATGAGACAAGTAAAGTTCCAAAAGGAACTGAAAGTGTGAGGAACAACATAGAGGCCAAAGGATGCATCTTCAGATCCTACAGTGATGTGGTAGCAGTAAACATTTCTGTTCAAGATTTACATAAAGGGAGTAATAGTTTTACAATAAATCCTCCCATACTGGTCATAGCAGAAGAGTAAGCATAGGAAAAAAATGTTTGCTGAAATCAAAATGTTAGCATCTTTTTTTGGACAGAGCATGTTTTCAACCTCACCTGTTCATTGGTAAAAAGTACCAATTACAAGAATAAAAACCAAAACAAAAGTCAGAGTTAAAAAGAGTGTTGCCATTAGCACAGTACTTGTACGGAAACAATTATTAACAGCTCACAAGTATGCAGATAAGGTAGATTTAAGGCTTTGCTTGCACAGGAATTCAACAATATACCATAATCCTACTTGGCAAAGCAGTGCCTTGTGTTCTCAGTAGGTTAATGAGGAAAGAAAGTGGAGGCAGAAAAACCCCATGAAGTACAAAAACTAATCAGTATCAAGTTACACATTTAATGCCATCACTTGTTACCTGGATTTCTAATTCAGCAATATGCTGCTGGAGTTCTGCCACAGCTGCAATGCGGTCTGCCTCACGGAGCCGAACTGCCATCACTTCTTCTTTGCTCTGAAAGAAGGCAGAGATGAAAGCAAACAAATATCAGTTTCAGCTAGTAACAACTGTGCACTGCTTTTACCCAAAATTATAAGAAGAGAAAACTGCTCTGCACTACTGTGTGAACTACTATTATTCCAAAGAACTCAAATTTAATTTTAACCCCTAGAATTGTGTAATCATCTAATATAAATTCTAAACTATAAGAATCTAAAAAAAAAAAAATCTGTGCAGTTTTGAAAACTTGCTGTTATCAATTTTCAGGTCCAGAAAGCAGCTGTCTTGTTTTCCAGAAATGTTATATTGTAAATTCAGAAAAAGCATCAACATAATAAAAAACCAGCTTCAACCTTTGACTTTATGTATAAAGAAACAGCAAAGCTACAAAAGAGTTACTTATCATTTCCTTTGTCTAAAAAAATAAATTAAAAAACCCACAAAAGTAAATATATTCTAAACCTCATTTAGTCCAGCTATGTTAAATCACAGTAGACGGCAAAGCTTGGAATAAAGTACCAATGCACATAACCTACAATCAGCTTCCCACTGTAAGTTTAACCTGTAAGTCTATCTATAAATGATAGGCAGTCTGAGTTTGGACAAGAGAGAAGGAAACATGAAAACACCCTTATTCCTGTTTTATGAGGCAAGTCCTCAAGACTTCAGAGCACAAAACAACTAATATTATATTTTCAGCAGTCTAATACAACTACAGAGAGAAAGCAGTGCTAGATAGTGAGTGAGCAATATTGTCAGCTGGAGAGCAAATAACTGGGGAAGAGACAGACTAGGCTCAGGTACACCTGCTTTTATGGCAGACTGGTGTAACTAAACTGTAGTTACTGTAAATCAGTTCCAGTATTTCAGTTATTTTAATGTGTGCTTCAAACTAACAGTACTCAAGCCTCCTTTGTTAGACAGTATAGTTGAGACCAAATTGAACATATCAAAGCTTATCTCAGTAGCCACTTGAAAACATGCTATTTGTTTGGGGTTTTTTTAAAGATTACTGTAACAGAGGTATATCATCTATAGGATCCAATTAACAGTATTTGTAATCAGTGGAGTCCATTTCAGAGAAATCCATCATGTGCTAGCCAAAGTTCAGCCATTCTTGCTAAATTCTGTTGCATGATTACTCAAATGAAGCCAACCGACAAGTCCACAGGATTGCATGTATTTAACTGAAAGCTGAAGGACAGACTCTGGTATCTGAGATGAGTCAATAGTGTTGCTCTAGATGGCACTTATGCTTTATCTCTGAAACAGAGCATGTTCTCAATTACCACAGAACTTGATATGGTGGTAGGAAGGAGAAGACTGTGGTGGGGGCACAAATCTTATGTTGTAAATTCTTTAGCAAAACTGATTAGAAAGATCAGTGGTGAGTTTCAAGAAACAATTTGAAATTGAGTCCTTGCTGTAGAAGCAGTACTCAGATCAAAAGGGAAAAATATAACAGTACACACCAGTGACAGAAAAGAGTTGTCCTACAGGTAGTATGAGATGCAACTTGCTACAAAAATTTTAACTTCTGCTTATGCATTTCAAGTTATTTTTAAAAATAAAAATACAAGCTACTGAAATAACGTACCAATCCTTTATGCCTAGAACAACTGGGGGCGGAGTTGAAAATCCAAATATATATTTTTCTGAGACACCTCTTGAAGTAGAAATATTGCTACCTATCCAAGATGTACTGACAAAAATAGAACTAGAGTGTGATTTCAGATGACTTGAAACAACAGGAAGAAAAAAAATAATCGAACATCAGCTACTAATGGAATCGGGAATAACAAACTTGCTATATTTAAAGAGATGAGAGGTGGAACTTTTAAATATATTTAGTGCTACAAAAACTTAATATTTGTCTGTATTGCTCCATGACATTATCTGAAAGATTACTGAAACTTTCTTCATCGTTTTTCAATATAAAGTTATTATATCAGCAATATATTAAATAGCTTTATTTCACATATTTACACAGCAGTACTGTATTTTCAATTAAACCTACCTGTTGTTATTTGCATTTCACAAAATCCCCAAATGGTTGGGGTTGGAAGGGACCTCTAGAGATCACCCAGTCCAACCTCTGCTAAAGCAGGTTCACCTGCAGCAAGTTGCACAGAATTGCATCCAGGTGAGTTGTGAATATCTCCAGAGAAGAGACTCCACAACCTCTCTGGGCAGCCTGTATTTCAGACCAAATCTAAGGTGGTAGCAACACTGTTTAGTGAAGGTACAGATACTGAACCTACTTCTAGAAGACCCGGAGGTACAAGTCTGCTGTTACTGCTGGAGGCCAGCACTTCACACCTGTAACATATTCCTTACATCGTCGTCACAGTCTCTTGTATATCTAGTATTTAAAAGGCCAGTAATACTGCAAGCTTTTGGCCTGAGAAGCACAAGGTTTCTCTTTCTACTTTAAACTTTAATTTTTTTTTCCTTTCAATTCACTTTAACACTAAAATTTCATTTTCATCACACTTAGCAAAAACACTTGTGCATTTAAGCAGTACAGGAGTCTACATGGTATTCTACTAAGTCTCTTCCCAAGAAGTCACTCTCTAGCTCACAGTTAAACAGTAGAAATCCAGGTAATGGATATGCATCAAATTGGTAATATTTCATTTTATATCAGAAACATCAACTCATAAAATATCTTACAATATAAATTGTAATTTTTTTTCTATCAACTACAAACCAAGTTTCAGGATCTAATGTCAGTGTATGTCAGTACTTCTGCTTCACTGGCTATTGACCACTGCTATTTTCAGAGAATCTCTAAAGAATATGACTAGTGCTCCATCTATTACTGTCACGGTTTTCTCTAGCCCATGTTAGAACAGAGCTTTACAAGCAAATTATCCTAGTGAGAATAGTTATGTATACAAACACATTAGTCAAGTTAAAAACCTATTATTTCTTATGATCAACATAAAACCAGAATATTGACTACACACTCTAATCCTCAATCTCTTAATGTTTAATGAGCACCTTCAGTATCAAACAAAAAAGTTACAGGTTATATGAAAAAGACATATCACCAAGACTGAGAATATTAAAAAAAAAATAATAAATCAGTAAGAATAATCTCAGCACTAAAAAAATAGCACTTAGGAACCCAATGATCATGGCAAACAAGACAGTCAGTAGAAGCAATTTCTTCTCATTAAGATTCAGTGGCTTTTTACCCAAAAGTTTGTGATGGAGTTTGAGCAGTCAGTAGAAGTTACCTCTTCATTGCACTTTTGATTCAGGTTCGACTAGAAACAAATGGAATTGGCAAGACAGCAAGAAAATGAAAACCTAAAAGCGTCTGTTGTCTCGGAGTGTCTTTTTATATTACACGCAGACTCTTTTCTGAAAAGAACCACACTTTAAAGTTTATCTTTGTGGGACCACAAAGAAGCAGCTCTGTCAAAACCTCAAGTGATTTTTGTGAGATGGTAAATTCAAGATGATGTTGCCAAAATCAGTAAAAAGAATTTTGGTTTTATGATTTATGCTTCTCAGTTAAGACACAATTCTATCCAAGAACAGCAGACAAGACTAAAACGCACATGTATATTAGCACCCAAGCAGTCTATTCAGGATCTTGTTTACCTTGCATTCAATCTCTGCTTGTCTACGTTTTGCTTCATTCAACTGAGCCAGAAGTCCTTTGTTCTGTGCAGAAAGATACTGCACCTTCTCCTGTAGGTTGGTAACCTCTTGCTCTGCCCTTCGTAAATGATTACTATTGATCTGATTCTGAAATTTATGACAAAAAAAGGGAATGAAAATGCATGTTAAGGAAAGATTTTTGATATTAATTTAACTCCCTGAAGTCTGACAAAACAGACTTACAGATTATTTACCATAAAAACTTTTGATGAAAAAGCATTCAGAGTTTTCTAAGTGCAATCAGAAGAGTTTGCATGACGTTTTGTTTATGATCAAGATATTCAAATTGTTCCTTAACAACAGATGACTTATTACAAGAATGCTATTACAAAGCTCCTGTACATCTGTTTTTCCCAATTTCTTGCTTAGGTAAGGCAAAGATTTTGTGAACTTGTATCCCAACTGCAACATGCATCCAAAAAACATCAGGTATGTCAGAGATATTACGTGCACATTTCTCTGTCCAGAGAATTCCTAAAAGCAACGTGGCACCTTAATTGAGATCAGTGCAGTAGTACCAGTCACCATTTGTACGTGAAGCTGTGCAGGCCAGTACATAACACGAGAACCAGTGCATTTCTCTCAGCTGAGAGCTAAACAGCATAAACACATACAGACTCAATGTATAACACTGAAGTGAGAAGTACCTAAAAGGTCTTGTGACATATTAGCCAGACAGCAGGATCCCTATGCCCCCTACTGACCAAAATACACACATGAGGCAAAGGCAACAAAATAAAAGCACTTTAAATGTAGTGCAACAGTATTGACACCTCAATGAAAATTTTAAAAGTTATGGCAAAAGGAAACCTTTATTCACTTGGTATCGAAAAAGCAGTGCCTCTGTCAGAAATAAACCACCATGTGCCTTGCAGTTAGCTAATCTCTCTTCAGTAGCACACCCTTACGTGCTCTCATTATTTCTGGAATTGTTGAACCTTGTCAAGTAAAGCTACTGTTTGTTTAGCCTTTTGGATGCACAATTCTCTCAAAAAACAGTTACATTTAGCAGATATTCCATGGGAGGATTTCTCAAAAGTCTCTTACAAATCCTTCTCATCAGCTGCATGTTGTGCTTACTGACTCAACAGAAAGTTCAATAATATGATATGAACTCACCACTTCAGTGCACTTTTATTTCAGATTTCTTTGCTTAACAACTTATTCCCTAGTTATATGAAAATAATTTTGGCAGTCAAGCTATGATTGTCTTTTCTGAACAAAACTCAGCAAGGGTCATCCATGCATTTCTATTCTGGCACACAAAAGGCAAAGCTTCTGCTAAAAACATCTGACCAACACACAGACTGCTCTGCCGAGTCCACAGCTCAGTAACCAGATTCATGACCTCAGCAGAAAACCCAGTATCACCAGTTTCACCAGAAGAAAGCAAAACACTGCCATTTAAACAATTAGAATTACTATTATCAAAATTGCCAATTAGATTTGTGAAATTTAAAACACCTTAAGCATTCTTTTGTTGTTAAATCAGATATAATTTAATAAATTTACATTCACACAGTTTACCAACTAATCCAAATGAGAAATTTGGAAAGCATAGTCATAGAAGACTAAAGAAGAGACATTAAAGTAAGCTGGACTGTGTGCACTAGATTCTTCTATCCTAGTCCAACAGCAGCATCGAGCTCAATTCACATGTACTAGTGTTCAAAACATACCTGTGTTTCCATCTCCATCATTCTTTGTTTGGTCTCTTTCAGTTCAGCTTGAGTTTCTGCTTCTCTCAACCGGACTGTCATCAGCTCATCCTGCAGCTCATTCACTGCATTTTTTTTGGGAGGATCTTTCCATCTTCCAGTGGTACGAGCTAGATGACGCTAGAAAAACAGCATGTTTTTGCTGATAACGTCGGCTCTTTCCTGGTGTTCCCTTATTTCATTTAAGGTCTCAGAGTTATATGAGGACAAATAGCTATAGTTCTCCTGTAGGTCCTAAAAGCTAGAAACCCATGGAAACTTACTGTTTTTAAGAACAGTTAAAAAGCTGAAGACAGTCATTCCCAGCTACGGTAAGTCAGTGAATTGCAAGTATATCCTGAGACTTTTGCCTATTTCTAGACCTTACCACTTAGCAAAGTCAGAGTACTGCTCAGGTACTTCCCTCCTACCAGAATGGTTAGCTGGAAGCACAGGCCCTCTGCCATCTAGGGACCAAATTCTAACATACTTTCCAAGTTAAGTTTCTTGTGGCAGCTGCATTTAAAGATTTTGTCATCTCAGCAGTTTGGTCCACAATCATTAGTTTCTACTTGATCTATAATTCAAAATTTCATAGTCTTGGTTTATCATCATTCATTGAAAATAAAAATTAATAAAAGTGTATTGCTACCCATACCTGCCAGTGTTCCTCCAAATCTTTGACTTGCTGCCTTAGTTCTTTGAGACCCATCGAAGCTTCTGCTTCTCTTAATTTTACTGCAATTAATTCTTCTTGTAGTCTGGCAACATTTTCCTCATCAGGGAGGGAGCTGTTCCTCTGCAACAAGGACCATCCTCTTAAATATGTATTTGAATAAAATTGTGCTTAGTGAAACCCACTCCGAATATAGACATGGAACAATAACTCTTATTACTAATCAAGCTTTAAGTACACATCCTTTGCAAAATAAAATTCCTTAAAAAAATCTAAGTTTCTGGATATAGTATGTATAAATAACTTCTAACTGCCAACTACAGAAAAAAATGAAAAGGTAGTAGTTTTAGGTATTCTGATTTTGTGATTTCCCTAGATGGTATCTCCAAAAATATGGAGAGAAATCTGAAAGATTTTGAGCTAGTCGATAAAAAGTAAAGCAAACAAGGAACTAAAACTACACTTTAAAGCTATAACTTTTACTTGGGTTTACAGAGAAAATAATAAATGGAAATTTATTTTTTAGGAAGCAGGTCACCAGCCTTTGTCAACATATCTGTTCTCCTTTTCAAAGGAACCGTGCATTTATATATATATATAAAAACAAGTCAAGAAGAGGTCTTAGAAATGAAAGACACATGAGGAAAAAAGAATAGAGAAAGCCAAACAGAACACAGGAAAACACTGGGGAAAGCAACACAGAGATGAAATCCTAATAATGGAAATATGGGAAAAAAACAGAGGGGAAGAAAAAGGACAGTCTGTCCAATTACAATATCCCTGACTGTGCTTCATCACTTTCTACTGTATTTCTCATCAGCAAAATCCAGTGTTTTTGAAGACATGTAATACTGTGACAGTTTCCAGGTTTTCTTGAGAGTAAAGCACATGATTAACATTAACAGAACACAGCACAACAGCCATTTATTAGCATTCCATGTTTCAAAATCATGGGATCTGAGTACTGGCAAATATAGGAAGTGAGAGGGTGTGTTTCTGAATGTTTACATCACTGTCAGTATAGCCATGCAAGTCTCGGCTTATTCAGCAGAAGTTCCCCAGATTACATGGTACATCAATAACAGCAATAAAGAGCTGTAGTGCAGGAATTTGAGGGAATTAGCTTCAGCCACTTTCTCATGTGCTGAAGCTAATGAACTCCCAAGTTCATTATAAGAGACTGAAGTACTACTGTACATCTGAGTTTGTCTGGTACACTGGAACTGACCCTATTACTCCAGGTTTTTTTCACAGTTAAGTTTTCAGTGCATGCTGTCTCTGAGTTAAGTAGTCTCCTTTTGAATTTTGAGAAATACCTTATATCCTGAATTCTTACCAATGGTCAGGAAAGTAAAAACTACACTACTAACCTGCTAGGCTCTCATCAAGCCCCTCAGATAATTTAAAAAGTAAATCTTGACTCCAGTGGGTTAATTTAATCAGTAACTAAGTTCTGGCCAAAACCTGAGTATATAGCTCTTTAAAATTTCCTAAGGAAACTATTTCCAAGGCCAATACAATAAGATCTGAAAAGTATGCTTTATATCAGGTCCATTTATTGTTTTTTTTTCCTTTTTTCATTTTGCTATCTTATCTTGGCAGTTAAGTTTTACTTCAAAGAAAGGTAAATGTTTGACAGTTGGTTTGAGTACAGCTTGAGCTCTGACATCAGGAAGTTACAAGCTACCACAGCACCCAAAAAGCAGCAGAGATTTTGATAATCAATGGTGTAGAGATTCTTTCCCTGCCCATAATGGGACAAAGTAGAAGATGCTGAAGACCTGGGAATGGTAATATTGTACCCTTTCCTCCTCCTCTCCCAAACTTTTTAGTTTCACATCACCTCAGTGCTCACTCTAAGCCCCCTGCTCTTGTTGCAGAATATCATTTTGAAACAATTGATGTTTCCTGTAAAGACTTCATCAGAATCCAAGTTTTCCACTACAGTAGGCTTCAGGAACAAGAGAAAAGGGATTTGTTCTTCACAAACCTTTGCCAGTACAAACATATCTTAGTTTTATTGCTGTCGTTCTTACAGGTTTAAAAAGCATCTTGTAATCATGAAAGCACAGAAGAGAAAGTTCTAGAGCACAGTTATGCAAAGAATTACAGGGACCCGTATTCTGTTTGTAGTGCTGTTCTGTACAGAGGGTCCTGGTTTAATTTACCTTTTCCATCTCTAGAACTTTATCTTGCATCTCCTTCAGGGCACAATGGGATTCTGCTTCACTCAGCCTGGCTTGGACCAGCTCTTTTTCCAGCTGTAGCACAAAGTCTTCACTGTATCGTGAACTGCATTTATGCTACAAAGTTTGCAGAAATATGTTTAGTATGAAGCACAGATGGTTTGAAAGGGGTTTTATATACCAGACCTGGTGTGAAAAGTACATTCAGCTGTGGAAGATCAGGAAGACTACCTTAAGTGCTTACCTTATGCAAGTCTATTAATATGTCCATCCAGACGGCCAACAAAAATATCCCTAATGCTTCTGCCTCAAACAACCACACCCCCACCCAGCCTGTTAATACTGACGAGCAACAACTCACACTTCTGTCTCATTGTTAACCAAACTGAAAGATTCTCAAAGGATCTGTGATATGCAGAAAAAGATGCCACAGGAACACTAGCTAATTACAAGGTTAATACAAGTATCTCTCAATTTCTACTCAAACTGTGATTCGACAGAATCCTTCTGTAATTCTGGATTTAAAATGAAGTCATGTATGGCTTCAATGTACAATGACTTCGGTTTGCCCATTTCTTCACTCCAACCCTTGGCTATCATTTGCTCACCATAAACATATTCCTTCTGAGATTCAGACACATCCAACCGAAGCATTTATATTCAAAAGCCTCACGTAACTTTTTTCCCCCAAGTCAGTAGTTTAAAAAACACATTTTATTTCTTCTTGGGTCACTTTAAAATGACTTAGCAATTTGACAGATTGTCAGACCTGCCTGATAGGCATTCTGTATTTGAAAATTGAAATCAGTATTTCAATTTCTGATTTAGGAAAAAAGGGGGTGTTGACATCCTCAAAGCATAGTTGTCTAG